GAAATATGTTTTAGCTCAGTTAAGAATTCTTGGTTGACGATTTTCTGTAGTACTTTACAGAAGTCTCTTCACTCTCTTCTAACTTGCATTATTTCTGACAAAAAGTCTGTTGTCCTCAACTTTATTCTTCTATATGTAAAGGGTCTTTTCTTCCCCTCTGTATTTTAAAAATATAGGCTCTTTATTCTTGGTTTTTAGCAATTTATTTATGATACGTCTTTGCACAACTTTCTTAAAGATTATTCTACTTGGGGTTCTTTGAGATTCTTGATTCAGTGGGTTTACAGTTTTATCAAAGTTGGAAAATTTGAGGCTGTTATTTTTCAACTTGTTTTTCTTCTGGGACTTCAGTTACGTGTATGTCAGGCCATTTAATATTGTATCACAGGTCATGGATGCTTTGTCCTTTTCTTTTTTCTGTTTAATCTTTGTGCTTCATTTTGGATAGTTTCTTTTGCTTTGTCTTCATATTCACTAATCTTTTCTTTGGAGTGTCTATTCTGCTTTCAATCCCATACGGTGTATGTTTTTTATCTCAGAAATTCTAGCTTTCATTTTTTTTCTCATTCATACCTCTCTTCATTATGCTTACATTTTCCTCTACCATCTTGAAGGTTTTTATCTGGATATTAGGACTATTGGGTCTGTTTCTATTGAACTTTCTCCTGTATGTGACTATATGTTTCTACTTTTATATATGCCCAGTAATTTTGGTTGGGTGCTAAACAATGTAAATTACAGTTTTGGGTTGCTGAAATTTTTAAAAAATTCTTTTAAATAACGAATTTTGATTTCATGCACATTTTCTTTTTTTTTTTTTTTAAGATTTTTTATTTATTTATCTGAGAGAGAGAATGGGAGACAGAGAGCATGAGAGGGGGAGGATCAGAGGGAGAAGCAGACTCCCTGCTGAGCAGGGAGTCCGATGTGGGACTCGATCCCGGGACTCCAGGATCATGACCTGAGCCGAAGGCAGTTGCTTAACCAACTGAGCCACCCAGGCGCCCTCATGCACATTTTCTACTCTGGCTGGTGGGGACAACCTCTAGGGATTGTTTTGTCTGTTCTTTACTTGGATTCAGTTGAATCCTTTCAAGGTATACATTAAAGCTCTGTTAGGTCCAAAGCAATCTTTAATCTTAGAAGATTTGATCTCTACCCTGCTGAGGATTCTACCTAATATTCCATGTATTATTACCAAATCTTTACTATCAGGGACAGGTACTATTCCTAACCCTGTGCAACTGCCAGTAATTTTTTTTTTAAAGATTTTATTTATTTGAGAGAGAGAGCAAGTGCATGTGTGCGCAAGAGAGAGCAAGCATGAGTGGGGGAGGGCAAAAGGAGAGGGAGAGGCAGACTCCCTGCTGAGCACAGAGCCTGATGCAATTCGGGGCTTGATCCCAGGACCCTGAGATCATGACCTGAGCCAAAGGCAGACACTTAACCGACTGAGCCACCCACACACCCCACCCCCACTGCCAATAATTTTCTTGCCTGTTCTTTCTAGTGGCTCTTAAATTTGAGTAGTTTTCTCTCATTCATGTGCCTATCAGTATTCAACCAAAGTTTAGAAGGGGTCCTTCTGTTCTCTCCCTCTCAGACTATAGCCACATTGGCCTCCACTAATATAAATAAACACTAATTTTTGTCTCCTCAACTCAGTAACACTACAGGCTCTGTTTGTCCCTCCCACCCCCTTTGTGCTGTAGCCTGTAGTCAGTGAGTTGGGACAATTGCAGGGTTTTTTGTTTCCTTCTCTCCGGTTAGTCTTGTTCTCCCTATGGTCCATTGTCTGAAGTCCTTTCAAATATTTGAGCTGGTTTTCTGGCTAAGATGGTAGTATAAATCCTGTCCTTTTTACTTTATTTTTCCTAGAAATAACAGAGCTATTAATTATAGTGATTTTTTTTTTTTAGGGTCATTAATTAGAGGGCAACATTTGGAATGTCTGGGTAGGCCTGTCCTGGTATAATAAGCTGATAACAATACTAACAGTTTTCCATAGTTCACAGTTTGCCTTGGAAGAGTCCTAGATGGAATCTGGGGGCTGGTGAGAAAAGCAAGCAGATCCTAAAGTAAACCCTGATCACCACAAGGGCAACAGAAAATGGAGTAGTTTATTCTGAAATTTACCCCTGGGATCCAACTCTGAAAACTCAGAAGGGACACAGGCCTCCTCACCTAGAAGAAAACCTGCTGACATACCTGTGCTGCCACGTGTCCCCCTCTTCCACAACCACCAGACACAGGTCTTCAAGGCCTAGCTTCACAGAAAGGCAAAATGTGATTCTCAATAAATGTTAACGGACATATGAGAAAAAAATAATGGGCATATGAAGACTAATGTGAAGAAAACCACCGTAAAGGAAAAGAAATCAACAACCAAAACTAACACCTAAAGAACCAAACTTAATGGAGGCAACTAATGAAAACTGTTTTGAGAAGGTGTGGCATCCATTTTTTTTCAACAGGGGTGAAGGTACACTAGTCTCCTCATCTGTTGTTTTGCTTTCCCTGATTTTAGTCACCTGTGGCTAGCCTGCTGCCCAGCAGCAGATGATCTTCCTGATGAATCCTCAGAAGGTCAGTAGCCTAACACACTGCGAAAATGCCTAGTCGTTCACCTCATGTCATCATGTAGACATTTTATCTCAGAGCATCACAGGAAGGGTGAGTACAGTACAAAAAGATTTTTTTGAGAGACCACATTCACTTTTCTTTGTATACTGATATAATTCTATTTTATTATTGTTAATCTTACTGTGCCTAACTTATAAATTAAATTTTATCATATGTATGTATGTATAAAAAAACATAGTATATCTAAGGTTTGGTACTAAGTGTGGTTTCAGTCATCCACTGAGTGGGGGGAAGTCTTGGAATGTGTCCCCTGCTGATAAGAGGGGACAACCGTACTATGAAAAGAAAATTTGGAAATTCAAAACAGATGGAAAAAAATCCAACACCAAAGGAAAAAGAATTGGAGTAAAAGAAGAAACACAGTTGGAGATCAAATCTGAGTTCGATTATTAAGCCAAAGAACATATCCAAGATTCAGTACAAAAGAACAGAGTCAAAAAGTTTTTTTTTTCCAGGGGTGGATAATAGATTCAGAAGATCAATTATCAACCCAATTAAGCTCCAGATGAAGAAAACAGAAGAATGAAGAGGAAGAACTAATGAAAGAAATACAGATGGGGGCGCCTGGGTGGCTCAGTTGGTTAAGCGACTGCCTTCGGCTCAGGTCACGATCCTGGAGTCCCGGGATCGAGTCCCGCATCGGGCTCCCTGCTCAGCGGGGAGTCTGCTTCTCCCTCTGACCCTCCTCCCTCTCATGCTCTCTCTTTCATTCTCTCTCTCTCAAATAAATAAATAAAATCTTAAAAAAAAAAAATACAGAAAGATTTTCCAGAGGAATATATTGCTTCTGGTTGAAAGGATCCCTCAGTTGTAGAACAGAATTAATTTTTAAATTAATCCTAAACACAAATAGTGACATTTTAAAGCCATTAGGAGAAAATCCAAACTTTTTCTTGAGGGTATTAAAACCCCACCCAGCTTATTCTTTAAAGAACGGGATATTAGGGACACCTGGGTGGTTCGGCTGAGCATCCAACTCAATTTCAGCTCAGGTCATGATCTGAGGGCTGTGATATGGAGCCCCATGTCCAGCTCCACGCCCAAGGTGTAGTTTGCTTAAGATTCTCCCTCCCCCTGCCCTTCCGGCACTCCTCTCTTCCTCTCAAAAAAAAAAAAAAAGAATGGGACTTAACACTATATTAATTTGAACTAAGACTTTTATATAATAAAACCAGCATTCAAATCCAAAAGAAAAGGGCATCTTCAGAATACAAAGTACGCAGAATTTATTAACCAGGCCACAGATCCATTCTGAAAAAGTGAATTGAGCATATATTCCAGCCACACACAAAAGTGGGTAGAGCAGGGCAAGGAAAAAGGCTATTTCACATTAACATTTGAATTTCAGACTTCTCTTGGAAAATGAGAACATAAAGCAATCCAGGGCTCTAGTTCCCACTGGACCACTATAAGCTGCAGCTAACTGGCTACTGCTTTCAAAGAGTAAAGGCCCTTAACTGCAGTCCCAGTGGCCTATTGCTTCGCTTAAACGTTAAGCCTAAGGAGTTCATCCAGCAGGGTTATATGCATCCTTAAGGAGCAGAGGTGTCCTGGGCATCCCTGAAAATATCCCTGCCAGACCCACATAAACACAAATCGATAGAATAACGTCTGTAGCAGTGCTTCCCATTTATTCTTCAAAGCATGCCCCAAAAGTAGGAACTAAAATGGTGTGTGCTGTACTTTAAAGCAAAGGATCAATGTGCCTTCTAATCCATAGCTTTCACCAAGTTCCCTCTTAAACAGTCCCTGCAGTCCAGAGGACAGAGCCCAGGATTTGCAGCCGGAACACTCTGCCACTTACCTAACTAGCTGTGTAGCCTCGAGCCAGTCACTTAATCTCTCTCAATCTCATTTCTACACCACCTTGCAGAGCTGGACGGATAAGATGTAATTAAATACATAAAATGTATTTAAACCACGCCGCCTCAGAAGGGGTGTAATAAAGGGTGACTTGATTCTTAATTTATCGGGTAACAAACGGGCTGAGGTCACTTAGACACCTAGGATTTTCTAACGTCTCCCCAGGCTGCGCCGGCATTAACTTGGGTCAAGAGTGGAGCCCGTAGCCCAACTGTGCTATTGGGCGACCGAACTTTGTTCAGACCCCGCTCCTTCCTCTTGGACGCCGCGCCGGGGAAAGTTCCTTCTCGAGTTTCCCGTCCGGGCGGGGCACGGTCTTGCCAAAACGCTGACGCAGCGCGGGACACCCCTCCCCCCCAGTCCCGGGTCCTCCGCGACCCGCAGCGAATCCGCGTGAGGGCCGTGCGGGTCAGCACGGGGTTGCAGACGCGGCGGGAAGCGCCAGAGCGTCCAGGGGAGCCGGGATCCTGGCCTGCCACTCGGTCCGGTCAAGTTCTGGTGCGCGGCCGCGCGGCCAATCAGCGCCTGCGGGGCCGGGCTCCGCCCCTTCCGCGGCGCATAGTGTCCGTAGCCGAATTGGCGGCTCGGGAAGCTCCGGGTGCGCGGCGACATGGTGCGCGGCAGGATCTGCAGACTCTTGGTGCGCGACGTGCGCTTCCCCACATCGCTGGGGGGCCACGGCTCCGACGCCATGGTAAGCGCTGAGCGACAGCCGGGTGCCTCTTCCCGCGGACGTCCAGGCCCATGTATGCGCAGGGAGCCCAGCGGGTCGCGGAGGTTCCCCACTTTGGCACCGTTGCTTTTGCAAAGGGGGAGGCCGGGAGGGGAAAGGGAATAAAAGTAACCCGAAACTCTCCACAACTCCTGGGCTTTTTTTTTCTTTCCTTATTTTTTATTTGTTGACGTTTTATACTTCTGTTGTTACATTTATGATTCGCATTTTGCTGGAAATGGTAGAATGCGTAATAAGCAACAACAGCGTAATGCTCTTGTTGGATCCCCACCCACGAAACCCTAGAACACATACTTCTTCTGCACTGAAACCTTGGTGGGGTTCGTGGTGGTGGGCCTGGGTGTTTTGGGTTATGATCCTGCCTCCTCCACAGCTTGCTGTGTGACCTAGAGAAGACGCCAACCTCTCTGGGCATCTTGGGCCCATCTATGAAATGGAGTCACACTCTAGCTGGGAAAGCAGACAAACAAGCTCGTAGTAATTCTGGGGCATGTGCGGGGGGCTGTCATGAAATTACCTGAAAACACTGTTAGAAGGGATTTACACTGTTGAGAGTTATGCAAATACCAGTCTTTGGAGATGTTGTAAAGGCACAGCCTTCTACTTAAATACTGAAGGGCGTGTTTGCTTATTGATAGTGTTTGGAGGGACACTCTCCATCCCTACCATGGTCTAGTGCAGTGGTTCCCAAATATAGGAAGGAGTTCTATACTGGGTCTCCCCGAGGGCTGACACCTACTGGATTCTCATTGCCCTCAGTCCACAGAGGAGAAAAATAAAATTGCCTGGGTCTGTAGGAATGCAGGGAAGTGAGAAACATCCATGTTAGGATGATGGTTACCTGTTATCTGTGTGGAGGGAGGGGAATGAGTACCAGAGGACTCTAATTCGCCCTCTAATGTTGTGCTTCCTAAGTGGGTGGAGGGCACGCTGATACCATTACGTTACCTATGCTGTTTGTGAACTTGAAATACTTTTTTAGAAATAGGTCTCTCGTAAAAAAAAAAAAAAAAAAAAATGCTAACTAGGGCGTCTGAGTGGCTCAGTCGTTAAGCATCTGCCTTCGGCTCAGGTCATGATCCCAGGGTCCTGGGATCGAGCCCCGCATCGGGCTCCCTGCTCAGCGGGAAGCCTGTTTCTCCCTCTCCCACTCCCCCTGCTTGTGTTCCCTCTCTCGCTGTCTCTCTCTCTCTGTCAAAAAAATGAAATACATAAATCTTTAAAAAAAAATGCTGACTAAACAAAGTTATTACGTTTAAATGTCCTTTATTCTGAGATTGTTACTCCCGCTTTTTAAAATCTTTGTGTTCCTTCTTATATTATGTTAAATGACTTAAAAAAAAAAAAAAACCACCCAGTTGGCAATCCTTTGTGGATCTCCAAAGAAGTGTTTGAAATTTCATTGGCTTGTAAAATTCAAACACTTGAACTAATGCAACCACTTTGCCCCTCTGATGTGTAGCAGCTGTGGGTTAAACCGCTCACTCTCTTAAGCTTTGGTTTTCCTTTTTTTTTCCATTTTTAAATTTTAAATTCAGTTAATTAACATATAATGTATTATTGGTTTCAGAGGTCAAGGTCAGTGACTCATCAGTTGCATATAGCACCCAGTGTTCATTACATGTGCCCTCCTTAATGTCCATCAGCCAGTTACCACTTCCCCCACCCCCTGCCCTTCAGCAACCCTCAGTTTATTTCCTGTGATTAAGAGTCTTATGGTGGGGCACCTGGGTGGCTCAGTCGTTAAGTGTCTGCCTTTGGCTCATGTCATGATTGGTCCTGGGATGGAGCCCCACATCCGGCTCCTTGATCTGCGGGAAGCCTGCTTCTCCCTCTCCCATTCCCCCTGCTTGTGTTCGCTCTCTTGCTGTGTCTCTGTCTGTCAAATAAATAAATAAAATCTTAAAAAAAAAAAGTCTCTTATGGTTTGTCTCCCTCTCTGGTTTCATCTGTTTTATTTTTTTCCTCTCTGCCCCTATGATCCTATGTTTTGTTTCTTAAATTACACACATCAGTGAGATCATATGCTAATTCTTTCCCTGATTGACTTATTTCGCTTAGCATAATAGCCTCTAGTTCTATCTACTTTATCCATTCATCTGTCGATGGACATCACGGCTCTTTCCAAGGTCTCAGTTTTCTTATCGGTGACATAGGTATAATAATATCTGCTTCATGTAATAAATGAGATGCCCATCAGGTGCCTAAATACAGAGAAAGCCATCAAAAAGTATTGTCTAATTACTATTTACATATGAGGAAACTGAAGTAGAAGGGCCTCTGGCCTAGATTTTTCTCTGCTTTGAATTTGTGAAGTGTTAAAGTAGCCCGGTTTTAAGTAGAATAATTTTAAGAAATGGAATTTGTCTCTGGGCCTAAGTTGTTTATGACCTCAGGGTCAAGAGAAGTTCTCTGATACCTGTATTGCAAACTCATAAATACTTAAGTATTTATCTTCCAGAGATATGGGGTGTGTTGTGTGCTGATTCTCATGTGCCTTCTTAATAGAATGTGCTACTTTGCAGTTCTGGGAGGTATTGCTTCCCAAACCCTCATGACATGCTGAACTCAGCAATTCAGCTCTGTTCAGCACTTAGAAGCAGAGGAGGCTTCCTGATCAGAAGCAGGATATTTTCATGAAGGAGCCCTGAGACTGCCCCCAAATCTGTTAAAAGTAAAGGATTCAGCTGTGATTTTTTTATCGGCCTTTTAGGAAACATGGAGCACTCAGACCTGTACTTATAAATTGCTTGCTTGTTGAGGCACTCATCAAGGTTCCAGAGAGCTCCAGGGCTGTCGGCTCTTAGCCCAGCTCCAGCTGACACCCTCCCCTTACCACCACCACTTCCCAGCCAGTCATACTTTCCCTCTCCTTTCCCCATTGTCTGCTGAGCTCCCAGGAGTGGCTGTGCTCCCAGACCACTCTCTCTCTCCTCTGGCTCCCATTCCCGCACCCCCAGCAGTTAGAAAACTGCCCACTGCATCACGGAGAAGACTGAAGACAAATGCACCGTGGGCCCCATCTCCACCCATCAGCCTCCAAACTAACCCTCTCATCTTTCCCTTTATTCTGTGAGTCCTATCCTCCCAGACAAATCTGTGTCCCCATCCCCACCCTTCTTGACTGACGAGGCCCCCATTCTCATCCCCTCCATCTCCAGTATTTTCTTCCTCAGTCTCTTTTCCCAGTGGTTCCTTTTCTATCCCATAGAGACAGGGATTCCCACTTTGGAATCACCTTTCCTTGACCCTAACATCTCTCTTCTTCCTTCTGTGTCTGCTCCTTCCCCACCAAAGACTAAATTACTGGTTCATCCCTGTTGCCTCCAACCTTTACGCTTACTTCCTCCTTCATCTGAAATCTTCTGTCTCCTTCCTTCTCTTGGGATTGACTGTTTTTTCTGCTTCCAGGGTCCTTTCTCCGGGGCTGCGGGTCATGTTGTCAGCTGCCTCCTGCCATCACTTCTACACCCTGACTTCGGCTGCTTCCTTACTGGCCTCCTTCTTCCCTCTGCAGGGCTCAGGCCCCAAGGGCCCTCCTGTCTCACGGTTTGCTCCCAGTAAGACCCCGTCTGTGTGTACAGCTTCAGTCCTCACTGGAAAGCTCCCCATCCTCAACCAACCAGCTCAGATTCTATTTTCATCATAAAGTCTCCTCCAGCTTCAAATGCATCCCACTCATAGTGCTCTCTGCCTGGCTTCCATAGTTTGTATCTCTCCCAGAGACTTACCATGTCCTGCCTCTTGCTATTAGAGTTTCTATAACCATGGCTTCTAAACTATAACTTTCTCTCTTTTTTTTAAAGATTTTATTTATTTATTTGAGAGAGAGAGTGAGAGAGAGAGCATGAGAGAGGGGGGAGGTCAGAGGGAGAAGCAGGCTTCCTGCTCAGGGACTCGATCCTGGGACTCCAGGATCATGGCCTGAGCCGAAGGCAGTCACTTAACCAGCTGAGCCACCCAGGCTCCCATAACTTTCTCTTTATTTATTTATTTATTTATTTATTTATTTATTTATTTATTTATTTATTAATATTTTATTTATTTGACAGAGACACCGAGAGAGGGAACACAAGCAGGGGGAGCGGGAGAGGGAGAAGCAGGCTTCCTGCTGAGCAGAGAGCCCGATACGGAGCTTGATCCCAAGACCCTGGGATCATGACCTGAGCCAAAGGCAGATGCTTAACTACTGAGCCACCCCGGTGCCCCACTTTCTCTTTTTTTAAAGATTTTATTTATTTGAGAGAAAGAGAGCATGAGCAGGAGGAACAGCAGAGAGAGAAGGACAAGCTCCCCACTGAGCAGGGAGCCCGATGCAGGGCCTGATTTCAGGACCCGGGATCATGACCTGAGCTGAAGGCAGATGCCCAACCGACTGAGCCACCCAGGCTCCCCTAAACTCTAACTTTCTTAAGGGCAGACGTGTCTATGCCCCCTCAGCAACCTGCACAACCTCTGATATGCAGCTGGTGCCCAGCAACCCTTCACACCGAATGCTCTCCACTAGGCTTTGATACCAGACAAAGGCCTTCTGTGTGCCTCCTCCCCTTCCCTGAGCACAGGGATTTAAATTCTGCTTTAAACTCGGTTTCCGGGGCGCCTGGGTGCCTCAGTCGGTTGAGGATCTGCCTTCGGCTCAGGTCATGATCCTGGGGTTCTGGGATAGAACCTCACATGGGGCTCCCTGCTCAGCGGAGAGTCTGCTTCTCTCCCTCTGCCCCTCCCCACCCCCAGCTCATGCTGTCTCTCTCTCACCTGCTCTCTCTCAAATAAATATAATCTTTAAAAAAATAAACTCGGTTTCCTGTCAGATAGGGATAATAGCACCTACTTTATAATATTGTTGTAAGGATTAAATTAAATCAAGTAGCTTTTAAAATAGTTTTTCAGAGCAACAAATACTGTGTAGTAATAATAGTAACAATAAAAACATCAATTGTCACCGCCCTATGCAAAAAGACATCAATAGTTGCATCCTACATTCCTTATTGATGCATTCAGATCTTCTGCCTGGCTTTTGGGGGTCTCCATTATCTGCCCCCACACCACCTATCCAGTCTTGTCTTCATTCACTTGCCACCCCGGTGGCCCAGGGGCCTTTCACTTCTGTCTCACAAGGCTCGGGGTTTCCTATGGCTCTCCCTTGCCCCTGCCTTCACTTGTCTCCTTGCCCATCCTAGTGTCTCAGTCCCCTGCTTCCTCTTTCCTTGCTCCCTTGCTCTTCCTGGGGACTTCTCACACAGTAGTTCTCACCTGCTTCTCCCTACTGAGGGGAAATTTCTGGAGACAGACTGGTTTTTTCACTTCTGCATCCCTCATCCCCCATATCAGCAGGTAGTGTTGAGTTTCATCATAGTCGGTCAGTAAACACTTACCAAAATACCATTTGATAGTAGCAAGTTTTAAAAAAGAACAAAACAAAAAGCGGGCTAATTTGTCCTTAAGTTTTAATTCTTTGTTTCCGCCCAGCAATCTCTGAACCAGCGCCATTGTCTTTTTAGCCCTGCTACAGACTGCAGCGAAGATAAGTCCAGTTTTCTGTGAGGCTTTCTGAAGGCTTGGCTGCTTCCATTTGAGGCTGCTTGTGAATACAGCTCTGTTCAGAGAGCTGGCAGAGGTAGCTTAGGCAAAAACTCCTGGATTAAAATCTGAGCTGATCATCAGAGGAGGCCTAATGGCAAACTGGCACTGAAAATGTATGCATTGCCCTTGTTGAAATGATATGAATCTGTCAGGGGGACTTTCCCTTTGTCCATTCAGAACTCCTCCATTTTGGGGGGGCACACCAAGGCTTGCATCAGACTCGAGCTCCTCTTGAACGTCCCCTGTTGCGTTTTCTAGTCTTACGTGATGTACTGAGGGGTACCTTTGGGTTTCTCATGTTTGCCTTGTGGGGCGGGGTGCGTTTCTCCTGCAGCACACAGACCCTGACTACTCGGCTGCCTATGTCGTCTTAGAGACCGATGCGGAAGACGGGCTCAAGGGGTACGGGCTTACCTTCACTCTGGGAAAAGGCACGGAAGTTGGTGAGTTGAACATTCTCGTTAAGGTTCCGGAATGCTTCGTTTTCACTTAGATTCCAGTTGTGACCTTACTTTTCTCTGTATTTACGCTGTTCAGGGTGAGTAAAGACAATGTTTCGTGGTTTGTTATTTGTTTCATGGGGAGAAATGAAAAGGCGGCAGAACTCGGCCCTTCTCCTTGCAGGGGTCAATGGACTGCGGGCATATCCGTGAATCTCGGCCTGTTTCTCTGCCTGAGCTAGGCGGGCGGCTGAGGGACATGACAGGGACAGATGGGCACTTGTGTGGCAAGGCTTATTGGGATGTGCACAGCGAGCCACTTGCTCTGCAAAGTACTGCACAGCGAGTGGTTTCAGGCCCACTGCTCCTCACGGTGGAAGGGCCTCTGGCTGCCCTGTTTCAGAGCTGGTATCTGGGCAAAGCAGGTTGTTCACTGAGCTATGAGTACAGTTCTCTCAGAATTGGAGAGAGCTCAGTGGGGGTCTTGAGGCCCCTCATTTTTTAGATAAGGAGACTGAGGCCCAGATGGCTGCTCAGCTAGCCACTCCCTGAAGTGCTTTCTTTCTACAACATTTTAAAAAAAGATTTTATTTATTTATTTGAGAGAAAGAGAGAGAACATAGAGGGAAAAGCAGGCTCCCCGCTGAGCAGAGAGCCCGATGTGGGGCTAAATCCCAGGACCCTGAGATCATGACCTAAGCCGAAGGCAGAAGCTTAACCGACTGAGCCACCCAGGCACCCCTCTTTCCACATTTAAATACAAATTATTTGTTTGATTTTTGTTTTGAAATACTTAATCCATGTACAAGGTACAAAATTCAAGAAGTACAAAAGGTGACCTTTGCCAGATCAATTTCTATGGATCATTAGGGTCTGAAGCCAAATGATGACAGTTGAGGTGTGAGGATCTAAGAAGGAAGGAAACAGATTCTCTAAATTTGGTGGTGATGCAGTAGAACCTCTCCCATGATATTTGCACTGTCAGCTCTCCCTAAGATGTAAAATAGAAGTCTTGCCCCACTGAAAGATTTTAATATTGTCAAGCAGATGAAAGGTGAGTGTGCACACGCACGCACGTGTGTGTGTGTGCATATGTGTGTGTGTGAGGACAAGGGAACCTTTCTTGCACTTTAAGTGGATGTGAGGTGGCCACTATTCCACTCTTCACAGGGCTGGCCTTCAGTCGTGCCCTCAGCCAGTTCTGTAAGAGACTTCCCTTGAGCGCTCCCATGTGTCAGGCACTGGAGAGATCATTTTAGTGAGATAGAGAAAGGGGACAGAATCCTGCATACACGGAGAAGGAATGCACAAACTTCTCAGGGACACAGCCATAGGAGAAAAGATCATGCAGTGTGAGAAGGACAGTTCTTTAAAAGCTGGTACAAGTTACACAGAAGTTTAGTTCATTGTCCAGGAGGGTCTTGGGCAGCTTCAGAACAGAGGTGAGCCTGTGAGATTAGTCTTGAAGATTATTCCTTGAAGCTAGGAATTTGCCAGGTAGCGGGAGGAGACTCGGCAACTATTCCCTGTCTCCCTCTCCATTAAGTCAACCATTTGCTGTTAATGTTTTCCATAAGGCAGTGCCCGCTGACCACGACAGGTTTGTGAGCCGTGTCAGCTTCTCCTGCAACTTTGTCTCTGGTGTAAGTCGAGTACTTTATGAAGCCGCCTTCTCCATTCTGCAGACCATATAGGGCGGTCCCCAAGTGTTGCGTAACACTCAGCAAACTTACAAAATATGTTACGGGAACGGCCATTGGAACCACTCTGTTAATAGCTGAGACTTTGAACTTTGCTGACTCCGGCTCGAGGTGGAGGGACCCTGTGTGCTCACTGAGACACAAGATAGGAGATAGGAGGCTCCTCTCCCTGGTTGCTGAGCTCTGTGCTTTGGGGCCTTCGCTGACCTGTCCCTCCTCCACTCCCATCCCCCAGCCGTCCTGATGGGCATCTCGGCCAGGCGTGAATCAATTTACATCTCTCTACGCCTTTAATAAACGGCTCTTTTGCGGTGATGTAGTCCGCTTCTGCCTTTTGTCGACCACAACATGACAGAACCCATTTTAACTTTAACCTTGCTCCATATTTGAGGTAATTTACCACGGTCTCACTGAATGTGTTACATGGCATTCACATTAACATTGAAAAAAATTCCATTAGCTCATCACAGTTCTTCTGTGCCTTTGTCAGCCTACTTACCTGGTAGTTCATTCTTTTATGATCGGAAAAAAAAAAATTAAGAAATAGTGGTTTCCTCATTACTGTGAAGGCAGTGCTAGTATGTGTGTGTGAGAAAGGGAGGGAGGGTTTTAGTTATTTTTTTAATAGAATAAACCAATATAGTTTTTTTTTTTTTAATAGAGGAAAAAAAGATGAAGAAAGAAGAATTTCTAAAGAGACAAAAAGAGCTGTAAGGGTTCACACCAGCCCTCGGGCTCAGGCACTCATGGTCATTCATAGGCTTTATGGACATGTCCTTCCTGGGCCAGGGGATCCCTAGGAGTTAGTCAGCAAGGCACTGCCTTCAATGGCCAGTTTTTTCCAGATGAAATCTCCCACCCACGGCAGCAAAGCAAACCTGAAGTAGACTGTCCCATACAGTGGATGACCACCAGTACCCAAATTTCTGTCAAATGCACGAAATTTTAGTTAGTTTCTTGCAGTGCCCTCCTTTTGAGCAAGGACAATCTACATACTCTAGATGAATATATTAGTGCTGCATCTCTGGGAAGCTGTAAAAGAGGAGGTCATCCTCAACTTGGGTTAAATGCGTTTGCCATGTGGGGCAAGCCGGAGGAGTGCTTCATCAGTGATTTCTGGCCACCATCTCATCAACGAGATGGAGGTTTTACTAGATAATAGTGTACCTCTCTGTGACTTGCTGACAGATTCTTCAGAGGTCTTTAATCTATGAGCACCAACCATTAAGGCGTGAGGAGGATTCTGTCTTCTCGTGGTTCTAGGGAATACATGTCTGAACTGGAATGATTCTATATCCCATTAACAAAAGCCCTAGAGAACATGGAATGGTTGGTCCAGCCCTAATGCTGTATTTAACAGCAAGTGTGCAATCATCTGAGTGCTCTCCACATAGAGGCCAGTCACGTCCTGACAGCATGTTTCATATACTGAAACGGTCTTTCTCTTAGGATCTGGCCGACTCTCCAGCTGTCCTACGAAATGGTCTGAGTCATATCGCAGAAATGGCAACACCAAACAAGTTTATCAAAAATTTTTGTAACAAATTAATTGCTTTGGGGCTAATCAGATGACTTGATTTGATTATTTTGGCCATTGATGTATAGACTGTTTTTCTAGAATGACTAAAAGGTAGAAGGGTCTCTCCCATTCAATTTGTTACTTATTCTTCATCTGAAATAACACAATAAAGCCTTCAGTAGAATACCAAAAACAAAAAACAAAAAAAACAGTGGTCATGCTGAACCAAATTAAGTTTAACTTTCAAATTACTTAAGAGTAGTATATCATAAGTAAGTCAATAGGAAGAAATGTAATATTTAAGAAAAGTATTTTCATGTACTTTAACATTTTACATGTATTAGGCTTATTGCAAATTCATTTCATCTTTGTGTGTTATGTTGTGAATTCAAGATATTTTCTATGCTTGACAATAATTAGAAGTTCTTTTTTTTTTTTGGTGATAAGTCAGGGTCTTCTTACTCCTTAGGAACAACAAACTAGCAGGGTTTGGTTTTGAAACTGCCTGTACACTTTCCAAAGTGAACAAGAAAATAGATTGGGAGTATGGCTTAAACTTTTGTCTTGATGGCTCTGTTTCTCGCACGGCAACCATTCAAAATATGTTTGCTCTACTCAAATGAAGCTCCATGTATGGATTAACAGCTCTTCCATATGTATGATATTACTTACGACAAACACAGAAGATATATTTGGGACAGTTTTTAAAAACATGTACCTTTTGTATGTGAAGTTTCTTTCATAAAACGCCCACATTAGTTTGTGGTGTTTTCATGTCTTAATTTATTGACTTCATACCAAAACATACACAAGAATTGAATCCTTACTTAATAGTTGTCTGTGCTGTGAATGCCCTCGCCCACCATGTGCTTAACAAGGACCTCAGGGACATCGTCGGTGACTTCAGAGGCTTCTACAGGCAGCTCACAAGCGACGGGCAGCTCAGATGGGTAAGGGGCCAATTTTATAAAATGCTTCTATGAGTAATGTTACTAAGGTCTAAGATGTCCTTTGATGGCAACAAATGTGAAAACAGAAACAGGCTTACAATTCTAAGGTCAAACATGGTATTGAGATAAATTAGGGCTTGAACGATTTAGACAGTGTTTGGAGGTAATTGATTTCTTTCTGTAAGACTTGAATCTGGACATATTTGGATCCTGAGACCCTATGGACTTCATCTCTACTCCTACTCCTTGAATGGAAGAAGTGTTCTAGGCCCTCTAGAAGATTAGGTACCGAATCGGCAGCCTTTCTGGGGGACAGAGTATGTGGGTAGTATTGGAGTTGGGGGAGGAAGTTATTAAAGCCAGGAACATAAGAGAAGAGCCAAGTTAAGAAGATAGAGACCAGAGTACTTTTATGTGTAAAAGTCTATATTTTGAACCCTAAGTTCAAGGCATGAAAAGAGTGAGGCTCTAGAGAAAGGATTCTGTCCCACTAAGGTCAGTCCAATAACTGGGTCTTTGCCCTTGTCTTCTGACAGCAGCTCTGTGTTTTGCTACTTCTCAGACTCTCATCCAGTCATGGAGAAAGGCACAAGGGAAGGCACTTGCCATCTTGCCTTGGATTTCATTTTGAACTTCCTGCAAAGCACGTTGAATTTGCTTTTCAAGGCATTCCCTTGAAGAAACTCCCACTGGCCAAATCTGGGACAATTCAAGGATCAAAATAAATACGTTAGTAATGGCTTGTAACTCATGGAAAAACATAAGAATCCATGGGTCGGTCCATTTAAGGTAGTGAACAAGCAACCAGGAAAAGTTTGTCATTATAATAGAGTAAAAACTTAATGTAAAAAGAATGATAATGTTAGACAATCACCGTATTGCAAATATTGTAACCATAACTGATTGAGGCAAGATTCGTCAATGCATGCCCAATCTCTGTACTTAGAAAAGGAAAATGGTAACCTCACAGTGCAGCAGTGCTGGACCCTGCCTTACCTAAGGGCTGGAAGATCATACCCCTAGTAAAAAACCAAAATGACATTATTGTCTGCTTAGAACTTGTGCCAAAAAATTATGACCTGAATCCCAATTATGAAGGAACCACAGACCAACCCAAACTGGGGACACGGTTACAAGTCCACTAGCCTGTGTGCTTTAAAAATGTCAACACATAAAATCTTTAAAAAAAAAAAAAAGGGCGCCTGGGTGGCTCAGTTGGTTAAAAATGTCAACACATCTTTAAAAAAAATTAGAAAAATTGTTCCAGATAAAAAGAGACTAAAGAGGCAGAACAAATGCAATATGTTAATAAAATAAAGTACATTATTGAGATAATTGGCAGAATTTGAGTATGGACTGTCTTTTAGGCAGTAGTATTCTATCAATGTCCTATTCCCCAAATTTGATCATTGTACTACTGCGGTTATGTGAGAGAATATTCTTGTTTTTAGGACCTACGCAGAAGTTTTTAGGGTTCGAGAGGCATGATATCTGCAACTTAAATGGTTCAGTAAAATCAATTTTATTTATATTATATATGTTCTATTTGTATATGTATATGTGTGTGTGTATATAAGTACATACATATACATAGAGAGAGGTGGGGGGAATATACAAGAGTTTTTTGTGCTGTTCTTGCAATTTTTCCATAGGTTAGAAACTATTAAAAAAAAAAAAACAAACTTAACCTCTACATGAGCTTTTACTGATGCCTTTTAAGTCCTGAAATGTGTCCCTGGCTAGGAGACCTAAATCTCTTTCATTTCTAAGACGTGCTGGTGTGTTTTGCTTCCTAACCAGATCGGTCCTGAGAAAGGTGTTGTGCATCTGGCTACCGCGGCCCTTCTCAACGCTGTGTGGGACCTGTGGGCCAAGCAGGAGGGAAAGGTAACTCATCGGAGGAGCACTTGGGGGGCTCTGTGGAATAATCCGACGCATGGCAGAGGGATGAACACTTCCTCTATGAGCAGCCTTCTGATGACAAAAGACATACACAGCAGGCCTCCAAAAGAAATATAGAGAATTGTTTGATTCTTTTTCTCCCTGGAAGTAGTTAGGAAACTAAAGGAGTCAGTTATAAAGGGCTGAGAAAGAAATGGGAGGGCAGCAAAGGTGAGGGGTTAGGAGGCAGCGTTAGAGACCCTGGCACGCAGGTGGACCAGAGGACAGGTGTTTGAGAATGGGAGTTGGCATTTACTTTCAGGAAAAAATGGGTACTTTACACATGTTTTACTATTCTTTTCTTTCTTTCTTTTTTTTTTCTTTTTTCAAGCCTCTGTGGAAGTTACTTGTTGACATGGTAAGTAAATTCTTTAACATTATAACGTTAAATAATTATGATAATGTAACATAAATGAGATGGACTTCACAGATTACTTGCCTTTTGATAATCGGTAAATATATTCAGGATTGTCTCTGGATCACTATAGTGATGATAAAGCAAACACCCACTAACCCCTAGTATTTCTTTTCTGATATTTGAAGTAACAGCTGGCTGTGCTCACATAGGCAGAGTGGTCCAAGGAAAGCACTGAGTTTAGGTCCTGCCTCCCCCCACTGTGGAGTTTCCATGTGTAATGCAAATTCTCTGAGCCTCTGTTTCCTAACTATGAAAAGGGGATAGTCGTCACTTCTCTGAGAACCTCATAGAATTGTTTAAAGACCAAATGATAAAAGTGCTTCCTGAAGAGCAAGACTTTATTAGTAAGATATTATTATCTTATACAATACATAAGATATTATTATTAAGATATCATCTGGTCACTTTGAATTTAAAAGAAAGTGATGGATCAGACTGTGGTGGTCTCCACTGTCTGATTCTGGAAGGGAAGGAGCCAAATGCTGAAGATAGGCACCTCGATGTTTCCTTTTTTCCTTGACCTGTTTATGGCAGGGTCGAGCACCTGGCAGCTGAGGAGGAAAAAAGTCTGGACAAGTTAAGGGGAGTGAACTTCAGACCGAGGCAGACCTGGTTTTGAATCTGGGCTCCACCACTTACTGGCGGGTTGACCTTGGGCATGTCACTTAACCTCTGAGCATTAGCTGGCCTCAGGGTGATGTCTTGCATGGTGGTTGCTAAAACTCTGGTGGTCAACTAATGAAGGCGCTGTTATTATTTGGCATCACAATTCAGGAAACACGAAGAACACCATGGCTTTGAAGACTGTAGGTGGGCAGACATTGCCTCTTCTCTGGGAGAAAATAAAAAGAGGCGGGCTCTCACACCATCTGTCTGACATAGTTGCTGGCGGCGTGGGGCCCCATCCAAAGGGGAAGGACATGAGCTGCCTTTAGGCTCAAGGTCAGCCTTTCAGAGGGGTGTAGGAGGTGGCTTCCAAAACTGACTGGTTTGAGGGCCTCTAGAGAAGATGCCTGTGACTTCATTCTTTTGGATCCTATTTCCTGATTCAGTAGCGGCCAATAGTCTTGAAAGGGGCAGAATCTCAGCATTGAAAGAGCTTTTACATTTTTTTTAAAGATTTTATTTATTTTTGAGAGAGAGCGTGTGCACATGAGCACGAGCAGGGGTGGGGGCAGAGGGAGAAGCAGACCCCCCGCTGAGCTGAGCAGGGAGCCAGTTGCAGCACTCGATCCCAGGACCCTGGGATCATGACCTGAGCTGAAGGCAGACGGTTAACCGACCAAGCCACCCGGGTGCCCAGCTTTTACGATTTTTAACAGACCAGTGGAGTACTGTTGGTCACAGTACAACGTGAGTGGGAGTGAAGCTACTGGTTGCTTCCCAGCTATTAGACTGGGATGGGAGGGGTCTCAGCCAGAGGCCCAGCCGAAGATGTCCGCCTTGCCAGCGTGGCCAGAGCAGTGAACCAGGGGCAGGAAGAGTGGGGGAGAGAACAGCCAGTGATGGTCCAGGGCCAGGCTGTGCGCTGTGTCGCTCATGGTGAATCCGTTCTGTTCCTGTCGGTGAAGTGAATTGTCCCAATTTGACGAGAGGATGGCCCACGGTCAGGCTGCTAATAAACAGTGGGCACAGGGTTGACACTGGAGGGCCCAGCTCTGAGACCAGCCTTCTTTCCTCTCCCACTGAGCTGCTCCAGGATCATGGTGAGCCCTGAAGTGTGGAGAAATGACCTATATGTAGAGGGACGCCAGGCGCTCATCTCACCACTTAACTCGTGCTGAGTGCTTGCCTCCTGCCCGGTCCTCCTTCCAGGAGCCGTGTTAGTTGAGCTGGTGGAGCCTAGGTGTTGGGGAGGGGAGGGGTTGCCATACGAGGGCCTGAGGATGTCTTGGGGAGGTGGCACCGACCTTCTGAAGAGCTCTGTACCAAGGAATGACAGAACCAAACAATTTAACACAAATCCTGAAGGCCCTTTCCCAGAAAGGGTAAGTCCATCCTTAGAGACATAAGCTGCTTGTGAATTGATCTGGGCCTTTCCCCTCTCCTGTTACGCTGCCAGGACCCCAGGACGCTCTTATCCTGCATCGATTTCAGGTACATCACAGACGTCCTGACAGAGGAGGAAGCCTATGGTGAGTCATACTCGAGTAACGGAACTGGAAGTTTTCTAGTACCTGCTGATGTGTAAATAATGTAGTAGCATGCTGTGTTGTCTGAAAAAGTGATGGTGCTTCTTATTTTTTTCCAGAAATACTGCAGAAAGGTCAAGTTGGTAAAAAAGAGAGAGGTGGGTGGTGAGGAAATTTCCTTCATTGTTTTTGCTTTCATTGTCCTTTTGAGGGTCCCTGTCCTCTTGGGGTTCGCATCATCTTCCCAAATGTCCCGTACCCAGCAGCCAGGCCCTCTGACAAAGGGTTGCATCTGGATGAAGCAGCTCCCTGGGTGTGACAAATAGGAATACCTGGGCTAGTTTGACATCCTCGGTAATTGCATGATTGTGAATGTGGCCAGAGGCTGGGCTTGGGGCTGGGTGCACATGAAAGGCAGGGTCAGAAGGAGAACAGGCTGGATCCTCCAAGGGAGCAGCTTAGCTAAAGGCAGTTGTAATTCTGAAGGCGCCTGGAAAGCACAAAATGTTGACAAGCATTGTGTTTTCCCCAGAAGGGCAAATGCTGATGCACGGCTACCCTGCCTACACCACGTCGTGCGCCTGGCTGGGGTACTCCGATGACACGCTGAAGCAGGTGGGCACTGGAACCCGGTTTTGTAGACAGGTTTTATATTCCTGGCTTTCTGGCATTTTCTTGTTAGCCTTTCTAAATCATTATGGATCCAAAGCCCCATCCTGAAAGTACTTACACCGGAGCGAAGTAAAGCCACTCACATTGTGGGTGTGAGACTCTGTGACCTAGCATGTCCCACCTCGGCTTCTGGAAGGTGACAGCCCGGGATTTGATTCCTAGGCAGAGGCAGCAGGGTCACATGGTACTGTGCTCACTGAACCATGCTGAGCCTCGGTTTCCTCCCTGTGAAGTGGGGAAATGATACGTACCTCGTGGGTGGTTTGGGGGACTCAGAATAATGCTGTGAGTTGTGTAAGGCCCCTAGCCCGGTGACTGGCACACATCATGCCGTCAGAGCCTGGTTGATTTATGACTTTCCCACCACCCTGTACACAGCTGAAAGACTAGCTTCTGTTTGGTTCCCTTACATCCGCGCGTTCTATGGATGCTGCAGAATATCCTGGCTTTAAGAAGGGGGACCTAAATGCTCCATTTCCCTTTTAGGAATGTTGTGAACAATTCAAGAAATTGTTCCCCTAGAGATGAGGAAAGAAAGTCATCCTACAAGTACAAGGAGTTATGCTCTGTTGGCTAAGGCGTTCCTGCTCTTAATTCACCAGCACGTGGTTGTTCCTCCGGTTCATGCGGCAGCCAGTGTTTGTGAAAGCACATCAGAGACAACTGGGGTTCTCATTAGACCAGAGAGAGCGTTTGGGTGTGTGATGGTGGCTGTGTCCCTTTCTCCCACAGCTCTGCACGGAGGCACTGAAGGACGGCTGGACCAGGTAACTTGTGTGTGTGATGATGCGCTTCACTCTCCCCGTCACGACAGGCTTGCCAGTGGAGAGGAGCCAGGAGCAAAAGGCACCAAGGAGGCCAGGATTCATCCAGAACAGTCTGACACGTAGGGACGCATGGGAGAAGTTTCAGCGTAGGCCAGGCTCTTCTTCCAAAGATACGATGTGAGTCCTAGTGAGAATCCTAGAACCATCAGACTTGAAACAGCTTGAAGATGGTCAATCTCAAGCACTAGTCTAGGATAGAAATCCACTCTTTACTACCAGTAAGAAGCACTGATTCCATGCTTGAAAACCTACAGAGGCAGCGAGCCTAACCGGTAAAAGGCACTTCTGTGTTGTTGAGGGCTGCACGCGTTAGAAAGAGCTTCCGTGTATCGAAACCTTCCCTTCCGGAGAAGTTCCAGTCACTGGTTCCAGTTTTCCACAGTCTCCAGGCGCCCCCTCATCCCCTCCAGTGGCAGCCCTTCTCCTCTGCAGGCTGTTTCTCTCCAGACCAACCATTGGCTCTTCTCTCCTGTCTCTCTCCTATGTGAATATGGACCCCTGGACGTCCTAGGGTCTTCCTCTGGATGAATTGTGGTTGTTGGGGGCTCCCAAACCCGACACAGTGCAGGACACAGAGGGACCATCATCTCGTGATGGGGGGTCACCGTGAGTCTATCTGTGTAGCACACGGCGGGAAGTCCTGCCTGTGCTGGATCAGCCGGCTCTCCGCAGACTCTGGGCGTGGCCACGGGCCTCCTGCTGGGCAGGGGCGTCCGCATTCCCTGGGAGCTTGTCAGCAATGTAGACCCTCCAGCCTCTTCCCAGACCTGCTGCGCAGGAATCTGCATTTTAACGAGATCCCATGGTAAAGGGTGATTTGTGTGCTTGCTAAAGTTTGAGAGGCACTGAATTTTTGTTGACTCCTCGGCGAAATAGAGTTGGGGAGTGAGACTTTGAAGGAGGCAGCCTGAAACAGGGGAAAGGGGCTTGGGTTGTGTTGGATTTGGAATCAACCTCTTGCCTTTTCCCTTCGTCTCCTGCACGTACTTGCTGTGTGATCATGAGCAAATTGCTCAGCCTCTCCAGACCTCATTTTCTTTCTCTATAAAATGGGAATAATATTAATTCATGATTCTCCTTGCAATAAGATGTTTTTATCGGAAAAGGGCCAGCACAGCTGGGAGTCATAACAGGTGCTCAGTAAGCGTTGATACCCCTCCCCCCTCCACGTGCTCAGGAAAGGTGGGAACAGTTATACCCAGTGAGTCACAGAAGGCTGAGGAGCGATTTCAGAGGCCTCCCAGCACAGAAGCCTGGCATCTGGAAACTGGAGCTCCCATCTGGGACAGAAACGTCTTCTTGAGTGTGTTAGTGCTGAGTGGAAGAGAGAGAAGCAACGAGTGCCAGGCTGTGTGCTGCGAGCGGGGCTTTCTGTTGGCACAGAGCGTAGGCACCGAGGAAAGTAGGGGGAGAATGTGGAGCAGTCCCTGAGTGAGGGAGAGGAGACTGGCCTCGCCCATGGTGGTGCTGCCTCCCCCGCGAGGGGGTGACCACGCGCTCTCCAGACACCTGAAACCGCGGCTAGGGGTCGTGGGGAGGAGGTAGAGACCCGGCTCTGGAGACTATTTGGGCATCTGAACAGATGAAGGGAGCTCCCTGCAAGGGGTCAGCTCCAATATAAAGGAGACCTCTGCCGCTTCTCCTTCTGTGACCGAGTCACGTGAGTCCCCAGCCTCAGGCGCCTGCAGCCCGAGGCCCACCTCTCCTGAGCTTGTAAGGAGCCTCGCAGGTGGAGGTCTTTATCAGTCAGACTCATTACATTCAGGGTGTGACGGGGCTGGCCCCTTGTCCCAGCCTCCTCTTCTCTTCAGTGCTGACTGGCTTTTTGTTCTTCGTTCCTTGTCACAGCGCCGCAAAAACTCCGTGTTGTTAAAGATGTGACTGCTCGGGGCACCTGGGTGGCTCAGTCAGTCAAGCGTCTGCCTTCGGCTCAGGTCATAGTCCCAGGGTCCTGGGATTGAGCCCCACATCGGGCTCCCTGCTCAGCGGGGAGCCTGCTTCTCCCTCTCCCACTCCCCCTGCTTGCGTTCCCTCTCTCACTGTGTCTCTGTCAAATAAATAAAATCTTAAGAAAAAAAAAAAAAGATCTGACTGCTCTCCTAGTTCCTTGACTTCGAGTCAGCAGGTGATGTGGCCTTGTTGCCCTGAGACATCGACTGGGTCATTTTTCAAGTGGCTTGTCTTTTTTTTTTTAATTAAAGACTTTTATTTATTTATTTGACAGCGAGGGAGGGAACACAAGCAGGGGGAGTGGTAGAGGGAGAAGCAGACTCCCCACTGAGCAGGGAGCCCCACATGGGGCTCCATCCCAGGACCCCAGGATCATGACCCGAGCCAAAGGCAGACACTTAACTACTCAGCCACCCAAGCGCCCCTCAAGTGGCTTGTCTGAGACCAACGGGGAGAGAGGCAAGAGGTTACTAGAAGGCATCTATGAATTGTCGGCAAAGGCAGAGAACCCGCGTGTCTTCGCCATGTCAGGGGACAGCTCTCAACCCCCAAACCGCATTTCTTTTATAGGTTTAAGGTTAAAGTGGGTGCTGATCTCCAGGATGACATCCGCAGGTGCCGCCTCATCCGAAACATGATTGGACCTGAGAAGACGTTGGTAAATGTCCTCCCCTCCCATTGAGAAAGAGCAGCTTACATGAAGCCTGTGTCCTGGGCCAAATACAGCTCATCTCAAGCAAGGATTAAAGAACGTTGGGAATTTTTAAATTTTTTTTTAAGATTTTATTTATTTATTTGACAGAGACACAGCAAGAGAGGGAACACAAGCAGGGGGAGTGGGAGAGGGAGAAGCAGGCTTCCTGCAGAGCAGGGAGCCCGCCGATGCGGGACTCGATCCCAGGACCCCGGGATCATGACCTGAGCCAAAGGCAGACGCTCAACGACTGAGCCACCTGGGCCCTCCTCGTGGGGAATTTTAAAGCTGAATGTGCGAGGAGGCACAGCTGCGTGGTTTTGCAATGGGTGAACTCTTTAAAAAAAAAACTGAAGGAGCTGATAGTTTTAAATGTGTCTGCTCTGCAGAACTCCTTAAGTCAGATCCGGTTAGGGATTCCTTCTTGCTAGCACGGATGCACCTGAGCAAACAGGTACCCCCTTGGTGCCCTCGTGTGTCATTATTTAATTTCTCTTAACAAATATGTCCTGCCTGGTTCAGCAGGTAGGCCAGTCTCATGGAGCCAAGGTGGAAGAAATGCCAGACTTTTGCAGAAATAAATGTAAGGATCAGTCATTCCTCACTACATATTTTTATAAGATGATTCTTATTACATGTAAAATACTTTTACAAAGTCACAGTAAGATATTTTTATGCTTTTGGAGGCATGTTTCATAAGTTAACAGAAATAGGAGCTGAATCCTGACCTAGGATCAGAAATGCCACTATTTATATACAAGTTAACATGACTTTTGTCTTATGGGGCTGTCCTTACCCAAATAACTTGTGATACAAAGTGATTCTAGCTGTACTGTCCTCTGGTCCTCACAGTGGCCCCTGAGGGAACTCCTACCACTTAGCACTTTCTACTGGACACATCCATCCCCATGTCTGTCATCAAGCGTGATAATGTCAGGGGTGGAGAGGCCCTTTCTTGGTGTCTGCACACCCAGCACCTGGCTTCCAGAGAGCCAGGGCCTGGGAGTTAGAGGCCTAGCCCTGAACTTGTCATTTACGTGACTTACTGTTTTGGGTAAGTTCCTTAACTTCTCTGCATGCCAGCTTTCTTTTCTGTAAACTAGGTTAATATGAAATGCTTCATAGAGTTGTTCTAAATATTAAATGGGACAAAATCCATAAACTGCCTGGTTGAGTAGGTGCTTCATCAATGGTAGAGTTTGGGTTATGTATTATTGTGCCAGACTCATAGTTGGCAAGCATCAAAATGACTGGTGAACAAATTCAGAATTGATGAGGCCTGATTCGGAATGTGATAAAATAGTTTCCAGAACAATGGATACTGCAAGACAGATGCAATTGGGTGGCACCTTGATGCAGTTTGGGCCAGAGCTCCAGGGCCAGCGAGCACTTCTCCTGGGCCCAGCCCAGGGCACTTCCGGACATCCTGGTGGCCCTGTCAGAAGACGCATCTGGAGCCACAGTTCCAGTCTTGGCGGCTGCTCTTTGGCCACCTTCGTGCTGCCTGCATGCTGGTCCTCCACAGAGGACATGTCGGGCTCCCTCCAGAAGTCTTGCTCAGCTGTCGGGGGCACCAAGTGACAGCATTTCGTCCTTGAGAGCCATAGCCCTGCCACAGGTCAGCACCAGGCAGACCTCGTGGTGGAGGGTCTCTCTCTCTCTCCCTGCAGATGATGGATGCCAACCAGCGCTGGGATGTGCCCGAGGCGGTAGAGTGGATGTCAAAGCTGGCTGAGTTCAAGCCACTGTGGATTGAGGAGCCCACCTCCCCTGATGACATTCTGGGACACGCAGCCATTTCCGAGGTAGAAAAACTCCTCCTGCCCCTGCCGCTGTATATTTTTGTTGTTGTTTGGTTGGTTTTCTGGAGTGGCCGTGACAGATCCTAAAGCTCCTTTGCTTATTTCCTTTTACATTTCTCTCTATTTTAGAGACAGTAAACTGCTAAAAGTTGAAAGGCTGCCAGCAATCCAGAGATTAGTACTTTGTAAATACAGAAACCTAACTGATACTAAAATATTTTTTCACCCCGAATGAAACAAAAGTGTAGATTCCTCTGGTTGACCCCAAAGAAAAGGTTTGCTTAGCTAATGCCACGGTCAGGCCGCCCCCCGAGGAGGCTGCCTGGAGCCCTGGCGCCGGGGTGCCTCCCACACAGATCCACCCGGTCTCCCCACCTCTCGGGTTTAGGGAGACCCTGGGACAGGAGGGACAGGAGGGAGCTCCAGCCTGCCGGGAGCAGATTTCCCCCTGAGGTGACTGCATTGCTATACTCTCCCCTAATCTGAAAAGGGGAGGGACAGGAGGAAGACACAGGGGTGGGCTGGGGCAGTGGGGCGGGTCGCGGAGGTAAGACAAGAGCGGACCCTGAGCAAAGCTGCACGGCAGGGTGGGGGGGACAAGCAGGAGCCACAGGGTGACCGTGTCAGTTTAAACAGACCCGAAAACTTCTGAGAATCTGGTCAGAGGCCACGGTTTGACGAAGACTTTCACCTTGGGGTTCTTTGGGGGTAGCCACACCCTAGTGCTGCCCACCTGCCCACGCAGGGACCTGCAGCCCCCCCCACACACCCCAGCCCGGAGAGTCTCATTGGAAGTTCTTCGGGGCTTCAGCCCTCTGAGGTTTTGTTTACGTGGGAAAGGCTGTCCCCTCAGGAGGTATCCTATGACGTGGGCACAGACAACCAGAGGCGGGGGGAAGCTGCAGAGTCAGCCAGCACAGGTGGGGCGGAGGAGATCCCCAGTGGAGGGCAGGTGCACGTCGGGCATTGTGGGAAAGACCGGTCCCTGGGCCCGGGTGATGGGTCCATCTGCGCAGAAGATGCCGCCCGACACAGTGAGTCACCATAGCGTCTTGAAGGAGAGAATGGGATCAAAGAAGATTTGACTGGAAAAAACATGTAAGATGGATTGAGATGCAGTACAGGGGAGTGTGGAACAGGCAGAAAGAAAGCGGAGTAGAGAGCAGAGCTAGGAGGCTTTCCCAGTAATCTAGGAGGGCGGGCGGGGAAGGGACAGGGCAGCTAGACTAGAGCAGGTTCAGGAAATATTTAAAAGGAAGAAATAGGAGTTGGTACCTATTAAGTGTCAGAAACATATGCTTTTTAAAATGGTAGAATGAATAAGTCAAATGGCTTTCTTCCTCTATTTTTTCCCACTCTGGTTTTTGTTTTGAGATAGAGAACGGCACTCATTTAAATTAGAGGTTTCTGGAAGCATAAACCAGGAAGGTAGAAGGTACCCCACTGACCATCCACTCTAACTCCTCACCTGGGGACAAGGAGGCCGAGGCTTGGGTGGTCCATGACTCACCCACATCCACACATAGAGGCAGGACAGGTAGCAGGATCGGGGGCACCTGGCTCCTAAATTAAGGGTTTTTCTGCAGGGAAGTTTCCCTATCTAGTGGTTCAGAAGCCTCCCCTGGCTCTGGAGTTCAGGCCTTGGTTCTACCCCTTTTTAGAGTTGTGATCTGGGAACGGTTACCAGCCCTGTGCCTGTTTCTCATTCCCCTGTGAGATGGGGATGATGGTGACTCCTGTCCTGACGGGCTGTGACAAGGAGTCATTTCAGGCAGGGTTTCACACGGCACCGGACAGGTAGTAGGAGCTCAGATAGTGTTAGCTTGCAGTGCCCTGGATATTATTCCCTAAACAACGGGAAGATAAGCTGCGGAGAAACCACAGGTGCCCGAGGCGATCCCAGTGGGGGCATGAGGGGAGCAGCCCAGAGCCTGGGGGTGGGGGGGGTGAGGTCGCTTCAGGTGGGAGGAAAGAGAGAGCAGTGCTATGTTCAGAAGACTCCAGCATTTGCCAGGTGAGGATTTCACCAGGTAAGGAACGAGCTCAGCCTGACCGGTAAAGTGGATCTAAGGCCGCTCGCTAAGCTTGAAGGGAGAGGGTTCTAGAACACCCACTGGAGGGGGGCGGTGGGGAGAATCTGCAGAGCTAGCAGGAAGGGAGCTAATGGCAGCATAGGAACAAGCCCCTCCTGTGTGCACACATAATCCCCTTGCCGACCTGCCATTCCCAAAACTCCACACAGCCCCCCAGCAGGGACGTTTCCTTCTTCAGCTCTAAGTGGTGAAACAACCGTAAATAGTTTTAAACATTAGGAGTTTCAGTTCAAAGACTCAGGAAAATAACATCAGGTTGCCTTATATTTTATAGGCACTGGTCCCATTAGGAATTGGCGTTGCCACCGGAGAACAGGTAAGTGACCTCTCCTTGGGGTCAGTACACACCGGCCACCCACTGGGGACACTGGCGTACGTCAGGCTCCATCACCTGTGTTATTCTGAGTGGGGAAGTTTTCTTAATCTCTGAACTTGGGATGTTTTACAGCACATCAGTAGAGTCTGGAGTCGGAGACAGTCAAAAGTTTTTGTCTCTTTACCTACAATTCATATGATGTAAGGCCTTGTATCTTTCCCAAAGTAATCAAAATTTACAAGGCAGCAGTTTAAAGTTGCTCCTGCAAGGGCATGAGACGCACTGTATGGTTTTAAGAAAGCCAGCTTCCAAATTGAATAAACGTTACTGCATTCACTCTCTGCTTATAAACGAAGCACCAATGCTTGCCAAAACCTGCGGCAGTCCACCCACGAGCAGAGCAGTGTGAAGGAACAGATTCTCAGTTTGCCCAGCAAAAGGAGTAGTGCTGGTTAGCCGTGGGTTTTTGGTCATCCAAGCCACCTGCTCACCGCCATCACCACATTCCACCCTGATGCTTTGCTTCGCCTCCCACTTGCCATCCGCTCCGACGGTTATTCCTTCATAGATGTCAAGCGGTGGGACTTTTGCGTGACTCACATCCTTCCACCAGCAGATTTAGGAAGCAGTGAGCAGTCAGGTCCCCAGCCTGTATTGTCAGGGTTTGCTTCGAATGCCAGGTGAGAGCAAAGGATAAATACAGCCTGGGCTTCCTGAAGGCCCAGGTTAACTCTTCTGCTGGTTTTATTTTAATTCTATTTCCAGTGCCACAATAGAGTGATATTTAAGCAACTCCTACAAGCGAAAGCCCTGCAGTTTCTCCAGATTGACAGCTGCAGGCTGGGAAGTGTCAATGAAAACCTCTCGGTGTTGCTGATGGCCAAAAAGTTTGAAAGTAAGGGCGCCCCAGGAGCCGCGCACCAAACCTCCATTTCCCCACCCACGCACACCGGCGGGTCCCTCTGGAGGGACTCTTTTCGGCCTGATCAGGGAATCTATTTTCATCCCTAGATCATAATGAATGATGTAATCACAGGCGGGCAATCACCTTAATCACCGCAGGTGCTCTCTCATCCACCCATCCCCACCCCTAGGCATTAAATAGAAATGTCTTTATTGTAGTTCCCGTTTGCCCTCATGCCGGTGGAGTTGGCCTCTGTGAATTGGTTCAGCACCTGATTATATTTGACTTCATCTCCATTTCTGCAAGCCTTAAGAACAGGTAATGTGGAGGGGCGCCTGGGTGGCTCAGATGGTTAAGCGTCTGCCTTCGGCTCAGGTCATGATCCCGGGGTTCTGGGATCGAGCCCCGCATCGGGCTCCTGGCCCGGCGGGGAGCCTGCTTCTCCCTCTCCCTCTCTCCCTGCTCATGCTCTCTATTAAAAAAAAAAAAACCAAAACAAAAAAACCAGGTAATGTGGAGATAACTTCAGTAGCGTCCCTCAGTCAGGTCAGACTGTAAAATTCGGCTCTGGAGACCAGTGGCACCAAGAACTCTACTTTGCCATGTCCTATAACTCAAAGGCCAACTTGGTTTTGCTTCCACTTTTTCCCAGGGGGCCATTACACTGGAGCCCCAGCAGTGAGTAGATCTTTTTCTTTCAGAGGACTGGGTTTGTGGTAGCTGCCTTTGTTTTCTAAGTATGAGATGGTGTGTGGGTGGGGTGGAACCCCGGGGAAGCCAGAACTCCTTTTGTTTTTTTTTTAAGTAGGCTCCACACCTAGTATGGAGCCCAGCAGGGCTTGAACTCAGAACCCTGAGATCAAGAGCTGAGCTGAGATCAAGAGTCAGACACTTAACCGATTGAGCCACCCAGGCGCCCCCAGAACTCCTTCCATTCTAAAGCCTTGCTTTCATCATACTTATATTCTCTGCTTCTGTCCAATCTCCTGGTCCCAGCGCTGGAGTATTCTGTAATCTGGCCGCATCTAGTTCCACCTTATTTCTCAACATGTCCCAGGTGAACTTTAAGACAGTCTTCCAGTCATCTGCACACATACGGCTTTATTTTTAAGATTTATTTCAGAGAGAGCAAGTGGTGGGAGGGGCAGAGGGAGGAGGACAGAGAGAATGCTTGAGCAGACTCCCTGCTGAGCATAGAGCAGGATATGGGGCTCAATCCCAGGACCCTGAGATCATGACCTGAGCCAAAATCAAGAGCCGGCTGCTTAAGCGACTGAGCCACCCAGGCACCCCCACATATGGCTTTATTAACTCCTGGAGTTAAATGTGGTATCGCAGAAGGATCACTGGCCATGATCTTTATATGGCGGCAGCATAAATACGTACATGAGAATGGTCAACACCAAATGCGGGGCCGTGGGTGAGAAATGGGACCTATGAGGGTTGATGGGAGCCTCAATGATAACGGTTTTTCTCTTAAGATGAGGGTGAGTACATAGATGCTGCCTTTTATGTCTGAAATATTTTGTACAATAAAAAGTGAACATTCCTAGGTTATTCTGCTTTTGCTCCCTCATTTCAGTCCCGAAGGTGGGACTAAGGGGAGGTTCGGACCAACCTTGAAAGGTCCTGTCAGTCTTGAGGGCTGAGAAAAGGGCCAGGGCTGAGTGAGGTGCACTGTGACCACCCACAAGTGGGCGAGAGCACCTCCTGCCGCCCCCCTGTGCAGGAATGTTGCCCCCATGCGCGGGAATGTTGGTGTGTGAGCGGGGCAGCCGCCAGGCGCCGCTTACACCCCAGCTTTGTGACCGCGTGGGACACCCGTTCCTGCTCACTCTTCAAGGCCAGAACATCCTCTCCCATGGGGCTGGTTCTTCACCTGTGGCCTGTTCTTTGTAGATTATACATAGCGCATATTCTGGTCGATAACTTGGTATCTGTGTCCTCTGAAACCATGCAGCCCCGTCTTGCCAGTTCCTTTGGGAATGCCCGGCACTGGGCACCTGGGCTGCCTGTCCTAGCTGTTCATTAACCGATGACCAAAGTAAGGCAGCAGAGTTAGGTCACTTGCCCCAAGTCACAAAACTAGAAGGTGGCTGACCCAAATTTGAACAGATTGGTCTGATAGTAAAACCTGTGCTCTTTTTTCTAACTCGTGTGTGTAGCTAGATGGGATCTCACTGGGTGATTTTAATCTATTCATCTGACTTTTGGCTAAAGGCACCCAAATAATCCCAGATACTTATGGAGTCTAAATGGCTACCTTTGGGGGTCACAAAACTTTTACAGATCTTCCTTGGCCTAAGATAGCTTAACATTCCAATAAACCCACCATAGTATATTGAAATAGTAATATATTTATCAATATTGATAAATATTAATATATTGAAAATATATTTTTAAATGTTTAATACACCTAACCTACTGAACATACCTTAGCCCAGCCTACCTACCTTAAACATGCTCAGAACACCTATATTAGTCTGTACTTGAGCAAAATCATCTGACGTGAAGCCTATTTTATAATAAAATGCTGAATAGCTTGTGTAGTTTATCATATACGGTACTGAGAGTGTAAAACTGAATGGTTGTATGGGTACCAACAGTTGTTAGTGTGTTGGTTGTTGACCCTAGTGATGGCGTGGTTGACTGGGGGCTGCTGCGGCCATAGGCCACAGGCCAGCATCACGAGAGAGGATCGTATCACACGCCACAAGCTGGGAAAAGATCCAGATTCAAACTTTGAAGTACAATTCTACTGAATGCATATGGCTTTTGCTTCATCACGGAATCAAAAAATCTTAAGTCAAACCACTGTGAGTCGGGGACCACCTGTAGAGTTACAAGACTTTTGGTACCCACCCACATGAGACTTCACCCAAGCCTCACACTGTTTTAGTTTACAGGGAGAGAACCTGAGGCAGAGATTGAGAGATTTGCATAGAAACACACACCCGATTGAGTCCATCCTTTCTTCATTGGTGCTCACCCCTTGGCTCTAACAGTTAGTACCACATGAATGATCTAACATAAGACATTACTGCCCTAATCTGATTCCTTCCTCCTAGGATGTGTGAATATGTCAACCACCTGCATGAGCATTTCAGGTATCCTGTGGTCATCAAGAAAGCGTCCTACATGCCTCCTAAGGTGAGCTTGGCCAGAGGCCTCCCTGAGGAAGCAAGGAGCTTCCAGCCCCTGGTATACTTGTTCTTGTGAGTTAGACCCTAGGCCACAAAGCTGTCTCCTTAGAGCTTATTTTCAGTATCTAGAAATTACAAATGGCTCTTCAGTTAGCAATATCAAATTCCCAAAGCCTGAAGGTCAGGGGTTGAGGGTGAAATTGCCCTGACAAGCCTTCAGTAATGCCAGCCTTTCTTCCCAACACCAGCTGAGACCTTAAAATGTACACTTCTGTGCAAACCCCCTCCCCCCCCCAAAAACCCCAAAACCAAACAAAAAGCAAACCTGGCACCACCTAGCAAATTAGTGAACTGAAACATTTAGACTGCAGTTGTGTTAATCTGGACCATTTATCTTCATCATGTTCAAGACACTGGGGCTCATTTTCACCAACAGAGGTTGAGTTGTCAAAGGAAGTGTGATTATTTAATCCTGAGACACAGCCAATAAAGTATATCCTTCCCCATTTCAAATAATCTAAAAACAGCATTTCTATGAACAGCAGAAATACATGTATGAGTTTTGTTCCAGGTGGTTATTAACTCTAAAATTTTTTGTCTTTAATAGGATGCTGGTTATTCAACAGAAATGAAGGAGGAATCTGTAAAGAAACACCAGTATCCACATGGGGAAGTCTGGAAAAAACTCCTTGCTGCTCAAGAGAATTAATGTTCAGCCCTAACACCCTTTCCTAAGTGAAAAGGCTTAACCATTTCTTCGGTGTGGTTTTACAAAAACGGGAAAGAAATCATTGTAGCAATCAAAACAAGTTCAGCTGAAAGTCCTGTTAACCTCAGGAATCAGCTCAGTCATTACTTGATTCTTTTAGTAAATAAACACACATTCTCCTAATTAATCCTTAAACAAATTTAGATTTAACTCCAAGTCCAGAAAGATGTTCTTACAAAATTTCTATCAAGTGCTGGTACCTGGACATTAAATTATACTTTGAAAATAAGCAGCAGGTTGCATAATTGTTGGAACAATGCCTTATTCTATCTAACGCTTGTTAAAAATTAGCAGAGTAAAAATAGTTCTGCAGTACTGTGGGGTATCTGGTGTACAACAAAGGTAAAAGGATTTCACGGATTAGCCCTGGAGTGGTTTAGCCTTTCTATTCTTGCTCAGTCTAAGTGTATTAGAGGATTCACACCGTACTGAAACCATGGCAGCAGTAATGGGCAGGAAAATGGAATTTCATACATTATTTTTCCATAACCCTTAAGCCTTTATCCTCAATAATCCTTATGTGCTAATGATAAAATGCAGCCAGAATTAGATGAACCACAGAAAAATAGGGCAAAATACAGTTTAGTCACCATTTCCAAAATACACCAAACCTCTAATCAGTATCCAAACAAGAATAGAGCATGTTTATTTAGGAGGGTTCAGTTAAATCTATTTTAGGCAGGAAGTGAGCAGAATAGCAATATAGAATAAAAAATTAAAAAAAAACCCAGATGAATGCAGAACACAAATGCAGAACACACCTTTATTATAGCAATATATAAAGCAAATAACTTTAAATGTTCATAACCACAACTGTACATTATTATGAATGCTGGTGTTATTCAGCTTGCTCAAATTTGGGGAAGAGCTGACGTGTAATTCTTGAAATTCACGGACCTTCATAAAAATGTGGGGTTGAAATGCATGTAGACGTTTTAAGAGTATCCCAGTTTTTATTCTCCTGACTTTATTCCCAATCTCGGCATTTTCACACGTCCTCAGTGAGTTACCAAACTAAAGGCCTTTTGTTACTAAGAGAACAGGCAAGGTTATGTTTGCCAGTGGCAACATCTTACAAGTTAATAAAAACTGTTGGTGGCCAAGAATTTTTGACCTAGTTCCCTCTTCCTCTAGGGCAAATGAGCTTTCACCTGGGCACTCAGTCCAACCCCTACTGGCGGAATATCCTTCAAATACCTCCTTTAAAAGCACTTTAAAGAGCCATTTCCATTTTAATAGTCGGGTGAGGACTGTACCCCTCAATCTGAAAGTCTTCAGCCTTGAAGTCATCGATTGTCTCAACTTTTCGAAGGATTTTGAGCTTTGGGAAAGGCCTTGGTTCTCGCTGAAGCTAAAAACAATAGGAGAAAATTATCTTGCCATTATCTGTACAACCAGCTTTAATTCTGCTCCCTGTGAAACAAGTACACAGTATTTTATCGACAAAATATTTCACAGGAATGTAATAGTGCCAGACACCTGCCCCTGCTTAGGCAACAACACTCCTGGAATGTAACTGACGGATTCTCTCCCACACGTGGAGACTGAAGGATCTTTTGTGGCATCCACCGCATCAGGAGCTGTGTGGCCTCTTGGTAAATTTATGAAGGACAGGACACAGCCTTTCACTTTTGTATCTGTAACTCCAGGTAGGCACTCCTGTATGGTTATCTGAGTCCCATAATCCCTATCTCAACTGTCCCTGGCAGAGGGTGAGGCAAGATGACATCTGCTGACAACAGAGAGGGGTGCAAACCGGGGTTCCTGGCAGGAACAGATGGTGGCAATGGGGACGTGGACACAGGCTCCAACCTCACATAACTCTGTCCAGCATGAGCGGAGCAGACGACCAGAGAAGCAACTGCACAAACCCCGAAGTCGCCCTCTATACAAAAGCAGCCAAGCTCCCACAAAGGAGGAACTTTCAAAACCTGGATCTCATCTGAAGGGGCTAAAAGGGTTTGGTTCAATTCCCCCCCCCCCCTTCGGCTCACTGAGCATTAGACACTCGTATTTTAATTGCCATTTCAAATCACTTGTTGGCTGGTGTAACTTGGGATTTGGACAGACTTTTGAAAGTTAATACTTATGTGTGGTATTTAACATGGTATGAAGGGAAAACATCACCATTTAAATTCTCGAACTAAAAATGAGTTGAAATGCTACCTTTGGGAAGGTTCCCAAACCCACAGGTCCGAATATGGGCTCTCCCTCTGTTGTACTGGCCTAGCATCTCACAGTAGCGGTCACACGAAGTGCCCGTGGTGGCTGTCTGCCTTGTCCCCGCCCACCTGCCCACCGCCAGTCCCTGCAGTCGGAGCAGGGCATCTCAGCTCTGCCCCAGCAAGAGCAGAAGGTCTGTTACGTGACGGACGTTCTAGAAGGCAACCTCTTATCAAGAGAAGGTACCAGGGTGCCTCGGTGGCTCAGTTGGTTAAGCGACTGCCTTCGGCTCAGGTCATGATCCTGGAGTCCCGGGATCGAGTCCCGCATCGGGCTCCCTGCTCTGTAGTGAGTCTGCTTCTCCCTCTGACCCTCCCCCCTCTCATGCTCTCTCTCATTCTCTCTCTCAAATAAATAAAATCTTAAAGAAAAAAAAAAAGAGAAGGTACCAAAGTGTGACAGATATCATTCTTACCTGCATTTTCAGCGGCTCAATGTGATTCAGGTAAATATGTGCATCTCCCAAAGTATGTACGAAGTCACCTGGCTAAATCCCATGGGAGCAAGCAAAATGGCAAATGTTTTAGTTTCAATTCCTTTCAGACACATCATTTGAAAGCACATTATGTAGACTATGCAGACATTCCAAGGCTTTTCAAAAAACAATTTCACCAGCGTAGCTTTTGAGAAAAGCTGATGTTCACAAAAGTTGTCTTGTCTTATAAATAACCCACAGAAACCTGTTTGCTTATCCAAACCGCAAAGACAAGAAAGCTCCCTGGGAGGCTGCCAGGTGAGCAGCTTCGTTTCTTGCACAGATCACATTTTTGAACTAATCAGCCACTGACTTCTCTGCAATTAGTTTTTCCGCATTAAATAACCTAAGAGCTCAGTGCTTTAGGCCGGTAGCCACCGTTCCCTCCCAGGCGCAGCCCACCTTCAGGCCTGTGATGTGTGCGATCATGTAGGTGAGCAGGGCATAGCTGGCGATGTTGAAGGGCACACCCAGGCCCATGTCCCCCGACCTCTGGTACAGCTGACAGGACAGCTCGCCGTTCACCACGTAGAACTGGCAGAGGGCATGGCACGGAGGGAGGGCCATCAGAGGAAGATCTGAGGAGCCAGCACACAGGAAAATGAGGCGCGGGTGGTTTTAAAGAATGCAGCCGCACACAAGACAGGAGAGAAACAGAAGCCAACCCCTGCGGGGGAGAGCATGAGAACAGGCCACCGGGCCAGTGACTCCCATGAGCCACACCGCCCCCCAGGCCCAAAGCAGACCATTCCAATCCTGGGGATGGCACCAGGCCTACGGTGACCCATCCATTAACACGAGACGTCTGAGGATGCATTTTCACAGCTGAAGCCACACTCATCCAGCCGAAATTACCTGCACCGCCTTCGTGGCACCAGACTAGACGCAGGAGGACTTCATACATGCCCGGGGGCCACAGCAAACCGGCATCCTAGGCACACCCTCCTGTATTCAAAGTCTCTACTCGAAAAGCAAACATTCCACTCTGGGTAACATTTAGTACACCTTGGTAGAGTTTAATTTTACGATATAACCGTTAAAATGTTAACAGCCAGGTGGAGAAGATATGAAACTTCATCTGCCCCAATTTAAACTGTTAAAACCTTAGGTATATTTTTATAGGTAATTTAAAGCTCTCTGTGGAGTAAGAGAAGTATAAATACACACATTAAGATCATCTTCGTCCAACCCCATCATCTGAAGGTGAAAATGGGGCCAAGAGTGACTTGCCCAGAGTCACACCAGCCATGTGGCTGGGGGTGGTTCCCAGGGTCCAGCCTCCTATCGGTGGCCTCCACGCAAAGCCACTGGGCTTCCCTTTGTGCTAATGGTACAGTTTGGACACGAGAGTAACTGGGATGCTTCTCACCTTTTGGATTCCAGCCACACAGGATGATTCTTCTGTCATCGGGGTTGGTTTTGATTGTGTCAATCACCTTTTGCAGTTGGTCTACTCCTTGACCTGAATAATCTGTGGAATTGTCGAGAGAAGACACGCCCACATGTCAATCACAGCATCTCGTGAGATGGCCTTAGAGACCATCCATCGCTGTCCTACCACAGACCCTGTGGTCATGCTCCAGGATACCCAAGGCATTCTACAAACTCCTCTGCTCTCGTGGGTGATGATGAGTTCTATCCTCTGGAGCCATAACAAAGTTACTTTCCATTCTACAAAAGAGTCCTTTAAACATCTGATCTGTCATGGTGCCACCCCTCCCCTTCCTGTTGCAAACTTTCTCCAATCGAGCAGTTTCTTCCACTGGTCCCCAGGGGACTGTCTCTATACCCATCAACCATTCTCATCACACTCTGCTGCCATGGAAAGTACCAGCTCTTAAATAGAAGACCCATTCCACACACACTCCAACTAACAGAGGACGGTGGATTCCTTTCTATGGTCTAGATGCTATTCTCCCAACGCTTCCACCCAAAATTACAATTTAGCAGCCAAACACCTACTGATTTATAACTATCAAGAAACCACTATAACTCTCACACCACCTTATACTTTTCTCCCATTTCTGGTCTCTGGACTTTTAATTCCTTGCCTTCCTTCTGAAATGGAACTGGAAGCTGCGAAGTCTGAGAAGTGAGGAGCTTCACATCCCCTCCAGTTAAACCTCCACTTATTGGGGTCAGACTATGTTCTAGTCCAGTAGTTCTTAATTTTGGGGGGAAGAAAGTCCTGTCATGATCATAGCTTCAGAAAAAGTAATAGCAAAGATTAAAAAAGATGCACTGTGATAGTATGGTTCTATATTTTAGTTGTGGTGCTTATATAAATCTACAGG